GGCGGGCGCATGCGCACTTCAGATGTTCGGCCGGGAGGAGAGACCCAAGGTAAGTCTATGGAGCAGCGTGCACCCGCACAGACACCGTGGGACATCAGAGAAGAGGAAAACAGAGGAGTCAGCGCTGGATTGGAGACCGGCACCAGCGCTGGAGGGACAGCTGAAAACTATACTAAGGAAGAAGATGATCGGATTAAGAGGCATCATTTAAGGTAACACTAACATTGGGGGGAGGGGAAACAAATTGCCTTTAATGTCACTTTAAGCACTCAAAATATGTATGGAGTGGTGACTACTATACAACACACACAGGGACCATGAGGAACAAAAGTAGCCCCCCTCCAGAAGGAAGGACAGTGTCAGCACCAATTCAGAGATGATTTGAGGATCTACAGCCGAGTGATACACAAATAAGATACATTTCTGTGAATAGTTAGGGTACTTGCAATTTTTAAGGTTTAACTCCTGAGTTTAGTGTCAAATTAATCAAAGTCTGCTGGGCGGGTTCTAACCATAACATGCAAGTTGTGTGCTGTCCTATAGCTTTAAAGTGTTATTAAACCCACCGTTTATTTTTGCATACATCTACTGCTAGCAAGCAGTCAATATATGCAAAAAGTGTAAAAAAAAAATGAAAACGCTTTGAAAATGGTTAATACTTACCCGTGTCTTCCCCGCGCGCTCCCGTCCGAAAATGTGAAAATTCTCGGGCGGCCGCAAAGCATCTTGGGGCGGGCGTATGCGCAGTTCAGATTTTCAGCCGGGAGACGAGCAGAGACACAAGGTAAGTCTATGGAAGGCGTGCACCCGCATGCCGACACAGTGGGACAGGAAGTGCCAGCAAGCACACAAGAGTCAGCGCTGGATCAGAGACCCGCAGCAGCGCTGGAGAGAAGGCTGAAAAGGACAAGAAAGAAGAAGATCGGATTAAGGGACATCATTTAAGATAAGAGCTGACACTAACATTGGGGGAGGGAATTTTTTTGATCCTTTAACCCCTTCGTGACTGACGACGTACAGTGTACGTCGCCAAATAGTTGCAGGTTTCAGTTGCCACTCTCTCTCCTGCCACCGCCATCCTACCCACGGCTTTTCTAGCTCCCTTATTGCTCCTCTTTGATCATTGTGTGGCCTCCAATGATGTCACTCCTGGGTGCTCACCCATTAGTGGTGTCATTAGTGCCTGGCTTCATTGTTACCCCCCTACAGATGTTGGGAATTAGCTGATGTATGGCCACTACTGGATTAACAGCCACATCAGTCTCCTTATTTGCACAAATTGGCCCTTGTTGGCTCGCCATTACTTTCTCAACTAGAGCTCTCAATAACTTGCTGTCAAGCCAGGCTAGATGAGCAGTTGTGTATGTATGTATGTATGTATGTATGTATGTATGTATGTATATGTATATACACTGAGTGGCCAGATTATTATGACCACCTATGTTATTGTTTCCAGCTATTTCTGGTGCTGTTGTTATGCCCCGTGCATTGCTCATGCTCTGTACTTTTAGGGTATGGAATATGTATTTTAAATTATTTGCTTGAAGCGTCATTAATAAAACATCTTCATGGTATATATCTTTTAAATGTTTAATACTTTTATTACTGGGTCTTCCTGGAAGGGGAATTTAAAAATCCAAAATGATATGCAGCAAAACATTGCATTCCCGCACGGAAATATAATTTGTCATTGAATGTTTCTTAGCCAGTGGAGATCTGTGATTTGTTATTGAGACAGGCTGCGTGAAAATGATTTAAAAATGTATGTAAACTCCAAATCTATTTTTCAATAGGTTTGGCATTATGTCACTCTTTATACAGTTTTCTTAAGCAATTTTTTTGTTGTGAATTTGTTGCAAAGCTACTTACTTGGGGATCCTGCCAGTCACCTTCCTGTAATAAAGATTGGTCACTGCTGCTCTCTCTCCCTGTGCAGGGTGACTGGTCTGGTCGCCGCCCCTCCTGTATTAAAGACCGCTCACTGCTGCTCTTTCCCTTTGTGCAGGGTGGCTGGCCTTGTCTCCACCCCTCCTGTAATAAAGACCGGTCACTGCTGCTCTCCTTTTCTGTGCAGGGTGACTGGTCTTGTATCTGACCCCTCCTGTAGTGGGTGGGGCCTGCTGGGCCCCTCCCACAGCTCTGCTTTCTGCACAGCCTATGTGCAGCAGAGCGATGATGTAACTGCTACTCTTACAAGGTCATATTTGGGTTTGCAAAGGCATTTGGTGCACAGAAAATGGATTTATATCCTGTGTGACTGCTAAGGAATATGTTTAAATGAATGTTTTTATATCTGGATTTCCTGCTTTAAGCAACTGCCTCACGATTAACAGCAGCATTGTCAGTCGCTATGTGCACTCCTCCAGTTGGCCATTGGGCTGCCTATCAAGTCTATCAGAAATGCCATCAACAAGTGCTGTTGCCAAAAATAAAACAAAATTGATTTGCTAAAGAAAAACGTATGCAGTCAAACATGCTGAAAAATAGTAGAGCCAAGGAAATCTCACCGCTCCATTTCGTTAGCCGCCATCATCTGAAAAATAGATTTGGGGTTTGCATAACACTTTAAATGTTGGATGGATGCCAATGACAGCACGGTGTATTACTCTGTACTACATAGCAACTGGCAATTTTAAAGGAGATGTTACAATACGATTTGTAATGTGGGGTGAGTGTGAGTTTTACACTCACCTGACCATGTTCTATGGAGATCTTCACTGTCTGGTAGCTGGAAGCCGCACATCCAACCCAAGGAAAGTCTACAGGCCGGGCTCTGGCTCTTCTTCTCCCATTCATGGGCAGAAGAGTCTCCATTCATTCCTATGGAATAGACATTGTTTATTGTTAGCTGCTATGCTTTTTTAACCATTTATAAGGAGCAAATATACAATTAGTCTTTTAGCATATTACAGGCAGTCCCAGGGTTACGAACAAGATAGGGGGACTGTAGGTTCATTCTTAAGTTGAATTTGTATGTAAGTTGGAACAGGCACATTTTTTAGGTGTAACTCCAGCCCAAAAAAGTTTGGTTTTGGATAGCATAGGGAAGGGTTTACCACCTGTAAAGTTTGTTTTGGTGTGTGTGCCCCTGTTCAGAAGATTTCACCTCACTTTCTGTCCATGTGACAATTGGATTTTTAAAAATGTGGGTTGTCGTGGAAACAAGGATTGGTGATAAAGCTTCAGTGGAGACACCTTTTTCCCATGATCACTTTTACAGGAGTGAATTTCCCTTCCTAGGGGTAGATTTTCTGTTGTCTCAAGGACAGGAAGTGAGATTACATTTTTCTAATGAGGATACAGACAGCAGTAAAAACCTCACAGTGACCCGGAAAAAGAGGCGGGCACCCCTCGCCTGCACCTCTGACAAGAGCCAACTTCCTGTAATGTTCGTACAGTACTACAAACCAGACCCAAAAAGGTGGGCACTCCTCATTGGCACGAACGCAGTTTACAACTACCCCTTCTTACAGTAATAGCCTCTGATTGTAAGTAGGAGTCGGATGGAAGTCGGATGTATGTAACTTGGGGACTGCCTGAAGTTGTTTGAACAGTTCACAATTTGTTTGTTGGTTTATCCATTTTCTTGCTTCATTTTTTGTTAGGTGAGACTGCTGGTGAGATGGATACATAACTAAAGACAATGGAGGGGAATGTATCAAAACTGGAGCACACAAAATCTGGAGCAGTTGCCCAGGGCAACCAATCAGTTTATCTCTTCAGTTTGTTCAGTTAAGATTTGAAAATAAAAGGGAGACGCCGATTGGTTGCCATGCACAGCTCCTGATTTTGATAAATTCCCATCAGTATGTTTTTAAATAAGCGCGTCTTCTTTTGTTTCTTCGCAGCACATAACATCGGACAGCTACATCCCATGCTTGACAGACCTCTGCAAGGCACTCTGGGAAGTCATGTTGAGCTACTTTTGTACAATGCAGTGGCATGAGAAAAATGATCATGAGGAACCTCAGGCAGCTTCAGGTAAGACATAAAAATATAAATCGTATCTGTATATATAGAAAACAGAATTGCAGCATTCCAAAAATCTTTATTGTAGAGTCCATTACATCCAAAGCATATTTGGAACGCCCCCAAACTTCACACGGCTTATATCAGTGAAGATCTCTACAAGGGTTATTTTGTGCTCCAGTGGATTGATTTGAACTTGTTATGGTTGATTACGGTTTAAGTGTTTATTCTGAGTTGTTACTGATTGATGTTTTCTTAATGGTGACGTTTTATGAATGAATATGATTGAAAGAGTTCATATCACTACGTTGTCCCCTCCAGCTCCCGGAAATTTTAAATGGATCATTTGTAACTATGTGTTCAGATGTGTGTCAGAAGGGCTCATGCAAGCCTAAAACTGTCAAATGACTGTGAATGCTTAAAGGAGAACTATGAGGTGAGCGATTTCCACTCACCTCATAGTTCTAGCCGACCTGTGACAATGAGACTGTCACGGGTCGGCTCAGTAGATCGGGAAGTGAGCGAACACATACCGGTGTTCGCTCACCTCTCAATCCTGTCACGGCTCTCTGCCGTGAAAAAATACACAATACAATTGTATTGTGTATTTTTATCGGTTTAATATTAATTTGAAAAACATTTGCGCAATTATCGCAGGGCCTACAAATTTAGTATCACCATCTTTTTATTCTACCGGACCTGCGCTTTCAGAAAATATATGGTTTGGGGGGTCTTTTACAAACGCTAGCAACGCAGCAGTTGAAAATCAAATCAATAGGAAAAAATTGCAGAAAATTCAAAAATGGCTTGGCCAGCTGATTTGAAAAATGTTCCGGAGGGCTTGGCAGCGAAAGGGTTAAGCTGTTGGATGGGGTCCCAAATATGCTTTGGATGTAATTGAATCTACAATAAAGACTTTTGATTCCTTCAATCTGTCTTTGTTCATTTCTACATACTGGAGACAGTGTGGGTCAGTCTTGGTTGTGGGCACCTGGTGTGTACAAACTTTGGAGAGCTGTCCACCACTCAAACTCCCTCTCTCATTCTGTATTTGTGTGTGTGTGTGTGTGTGTGTGTGTACAGAATATATATACTATAT